CATCAATTTCTTACAAAATTTAAAATTTTATTTTAATTCCCTCCAAATAGGGCTGTATTTAAAAATAGAACTTAAAAAACTGTTAAAATCTGAAACTTGGTGACCAACGATTACTTGATTATCAATCAATTTTTAAATTTCCGGCTCTTCCATGTAAATGAGCCGGTCTTATCCAAATTTTTGGATTATCAAGTCAAACAAGTCGGGCTAGTCCTATTTTTATATTGATCTTAATTAGGAAAAATGTCTATGCATTACGAGAATTTGAAATTGATCTCCAGCTAATAGTGGGTAGGATAAAAAAATTTCATTGCTGATGTGGTAAGATAACCCTACTTATCATTATTTGAAATGGAAATAACCATAAGTAAAACTTTCTTGCCACGTTAGAAGTTTTTTATCTTGCTCATTGAGAACAAGAGATCAAGCCTATACAGAAATTGGCTTGGTTTCTTTTGAATCTATCCAAAAGATGAGAAAATCTCAAGTTGATGATCATGGACTGGAAAAACTTTTGGAGTCACTTGTTTTAAAAGCAAAAATGGACTACTTATCAAAAAAATAATAATAATAATAATAATAATAAATTAGGTAGTTAAAATCAAAATCATTGCACGAAATTTGGCTAAATATCAAGGTAGAAATTATTGTGCTGGCTGTATTAAGAACACTATGTGAATTTTAATATATAGTTGCTTGGGTTCTAGCTTCGTAGTTTGAATTTTGAAAGAATTCATTATCAACTTAGACTACCAGTCTAAGAATCTAGTATGAAAGTGTAAAAAGATGAAAAAATAAAACTGATGTCCAAAATTCAGATGAAGATGACGTGTGTAACTATTTTTTAGTTACCTCAAGAGAACATTGCATTATGCGATCTAATTCATGTCTCAAAATCCTTTCAAACATAAGGTTTTTGCAACGCCAATCAAGTTTGTTATCCATACTCAAAAAGTACAACAGAATTTTGCATTTACCAAAGAACGAATTGCATTAAGTTTCATCCAAAAAACAATAAAACTTCAAAGCCAAATATCATTTCATGACTTCTGCCATAACAAAAGTTACATAAATTACCTTTGTTTGATGTGATATTCGGATCAAAATGAATAGAGCACCTCAACAATTTTGTCACAACAGCAAGGCCACTTTTGTGCGTGTTTCAGCTTAGTCACCTAATCTAGAAAAAAATTAATCTAATCACCTAATTTAGCTTACGTATTTATCCCTCAAACATATCAAATGTAATTAAAATTAACTTATGCACCGATGAGGCAAATGGAATGCACTATTTGCAAACATAAATTAATTATTTCTACAAAAAATGACATTAAGTCATCCAAGATGAAACAAATTAAAGATTACAAAGTTCAAAATACGTTTTTCTTTTAAAAAAGAAATAAGTTCAAACAAAGAAAAGCCACTAAAACGACCGTCCAAATTAACAATAACTCCTAGGAGAAGGTTATGAATTGTCAAAATCTGTAAGTTTCAATAATTAATAATGCCATGGAGAAACGTAATGACTTCTTGACTTAAACCCCACCCATATCTCTAATTGATCTGTATTTCCAGAAAAGATTCTCCAAAAGTTTATGTACTTTTAGGAAAAATAATATTGGATTCCACAAGATATATAGTTAATAAATTGAGTAGTAGTTGTGAATATATTGTTGAAATTAATGTTTGAGTATGATTGAATACAAAAATGCAACTTTTAATTTTACATAAACAGAGGCTTAAAAACCCAATTAGACACTTAAATCTTGGGTAAAAAATACAATCACTCAACTTACAACGAAGTTCCGTGTCACCCAGTGAACTTTATTTTATTTCAAAGTGATCCCTAAAAAGTCATATTTTTGCTCTCATCTGAATTTATTTCGTTTAATAAAGGAATGCATGACACAGAAGACCTCCACCTTGGTGCCATGCCAGATTATCTTTTACCATTCAACGAAATTATGCTCATGTACATGTTAGGCTTCGATGAAAAATATAGACCTACCTATGCATAAGGAGCTTGCAGAAGATGATATTTAAATAATATATATGTTGCCGTCATGTTATTTGACACCGTAGTTAAGTCATCCAAATATCTAGATAAAAACTATTCATCATAATTTTGCGGCACAAAATGTCTTCAAACTTTTTTCATTGCAATTATCTAGTTAGAAGAGATTTCCTTCTCAATTTAGACATTTTTCCCTAATAAACTCCTCATAGAAATGAAAAAGAAACATATGAGAAAATAAATATCATAACAATTAAGTAATGAGTTCATATGGATAACGATGGCTTGGAAAAAAAAAATTGGACTTTTCAATTTGACTTGACTTGATCACCGATTGATCTTTGATTTCAAAACATAATTATCCAAAAATTTATATATTTATATTTACGAACCCAATTACACGGTTACATTTTGGGTTAAAAAGACCAAGAGTCACTCGACTTATGGTGATGTTTAATGTTAGCCAGTGAACTTTATTTTGTTTCAAAGGTGATCATTGAAATTTGCTTTTGGTTTTGATTTTTGTCATAGTTAAAATTAGTTACATTAGCTGAAGGAAGTTCACCATAAGTTAAGTCATCGTCTATGTTTTTTTTTTTATCAAACAAGTAAGCGTGTAATTGGACTCCAAATCCTACGTTTGCATAAAATTATAAGTTACTTTTTTTTCTATTCAATTGAAGTTAAAAATTAATTTCAACAATATAGCTACAATTATAAGTTACTTTTTTTCTATTCAATTGGAGAATCTTATCTGCAAATAAAGACCAATCGACACCAGAGGATGGGGTTTAATAGCTTCTCCTGGAGATTTTTTACTTACAAAGATTTAATGCTTAAAAATAAGTTTCAATAGATCTTTATTTTAACCTTTTAAAACACAGAGTATGTTTGTCTCTTTGAATTTGAAGAGTAAAACTCTTTCTATTCTTAATGTACAATAATTACATTTCACAAGTCGTAAATTTCAATACTATAATTTTAAAAAATATTCAAAGCATGTTTAAATTGATTAACCATTAACATATAAAAAAAAATTTGTTAAATAAAATATTAGAAGAAATCAATAAATTTAGATAGTCTCTTTGAGCATATTTAAATTTGGAGAGTGAAAATTTTTATGCATTCCAACAATATTCTTTTTTTTTTTTTTTT